AAGAGTTGAAGTAAACAGCACGAGGTTTGGCAGCCAGCCAGGGCTCCATCTTTGGCTGGCTCGGCTGTGCTCGCTTCCCACACCTGACGTCCTAGAAAAAACAAGAACAAACAATATCCAGAAAGAGTAGATTTGAAGAGATAAATAAATCAGGGCTGAAATTAGCCAAATAGAAACCAAAAACCAACACAAAGGATTGAAGAAACAAAAATCTTATTTGAAATATTAAAATAATCAAACATAATCAAGGTTATTTAAAGAATTTTTAAACCTGATGTAAAAGGAGAAGAGATTTGTGATGCTTTCAACTGAGAGATTAATATTTTGAATTCTTAATACTTCAGCAAAAAATTACCATAGATACAAAATGATGAATTAGATAAAACTGAAAACTACATTTCACAAATTAAAATAATCAGCAACCAGTTGACATATGATTGTATATTATAAACCCAATTGATAATGAAAAGAGTGTTTACCAACACTGTTATGTTGTAACATTTTGGTGTCATTTATTTCCTAAATAATAAAGGGTGACATCACTCAGTCACTTGCAAGAACAGACTAGAAAAACCATTAACCAGAATATATTATTGTCATAGGAACTGGAGAAAACCTTCAAAAATAGAACAGGGCCAAAGTCCCAGAGAAACTTGGAGACAATTAACAGTACTATAAAAATGTCACCTTACTTCCTGAATATATGAATGGACTGTATTGCAACTATCATAATTCCTTTCTGCTACAATTTTGTAATTGTTCCAATCAAATAACAAAGTGATTTCCAAGAATATATTACATAGTATATAAATTATATTTTATACAAATTAAACAAAAGAGTATTCAAAGGTTTTATGGTATTATTGAATAATACCTAATGAGTGTCTTTATTTCTCTATATTCTTATCAAGAAATCTTTGTATTCACCAGTGCACACTTGAAACAATGAAGCACTTTGCCACAGGTACCATAGATGGGTCTTAGATTTATGAGCATCTTGGGATCACAGAGCACATTACTTACTGACACATATGCATTTGGGTGGAGGGGACCAGCCATTCTCTGTATATGTAATTGTGTCCTGACCATTTGGAAGACTGCAGCCAGGATAACACTCAACTTTTACAGACTGATCCTGTACATACAGTTTTTCCAAGTATGGAGAACACCCATTTTCCACAGACTGGAAAACACATTGCCCTAAAGACCATAAGAATGAAAAATTTAAAAAAATTATTTTATAAAACATAATTTTAAAATTATATTTACATCATTTAAATAGGCATGTATAATATTTAAAATGAAACCAGTTCCAGATATTTAAAAGATTATCATTAATTTTTAGGTTTTATAATAAAAATGTGTAAGTGGTAATGGTATTCTTATCGTCTCTATTTTTCATGTGAATTTCATGAAGAGCTGTTCATAATGGACAGAAACTTAGTCTTTTGTTCATAAAATTGTTCTTTTGTCTTATTTTTTCATGAAAACTTTGAATGGAATTATTCATGGTCTCTTTTTATTCACACTTTGAAATAATTATGCATACTTAGCTATAAAGACATTGTCTTACTGAGGCATGGTACTTCAGGTATCCATCCCTCTATGGTACAATGAGTGTAATCCCAGTATGACCCCGAAGGAGCTACAAATGCATTATTGCAATAATAGCTGTATTGCTTTCTTACAGGTACTGGAAAGTCTGCTCTGTATCTATCTTCATAGTATAGATGTTCATGATTGATTTGAGGAAAACCACAGGATTTCACTTCTAGTGAAAGCAAACAAAAGCAGGATAAGTGATATTTTATATTAATGAACAACGATAACAGATATAAATCATTTGATGGGTGAATTACTTTCTATTAATTAAAATAGCTACATGTAAAGACATAGGGTTTTTAGAAAAGGTAATGTAATAGAGTTTGACCTCTGAAGTATGGGAAGAGGTCTTTCCTAATGAAAGTGAAAATGTATCTTGCAGATCACCAGAGAAATTGAATAGGAGTATTTGGTTATATACAACATGATAACTGCTTATTTCTAATGTTAATTGAAAAATGAAGTATTTTTAACATATTTACACCTGAGATGCAACATATTTTTTTAACATGTTTGGACTGAAATGCAACGTAATCATATGTTCTTGAGCTATTCCTCTACCTGTATGTTTAAGTGTTATATTTTTTACTGTGTTGACAGGTTCCTATGTAATCTTTTCATAAATTTCCCTTCTTAATGATCTTATTTATAAATAATTAGTACTTAGTTTAAATAGAATATAATTATTTTTCAATGAAATATGATTTTATTTCCATAAGCATGATTGAAATACGTAAAAGAATTCCCACAAAGTGTAGAAGCACACACAACAAATACTCTCAAGCTTCTTTAAATCATTCATTTTCTTTTTTGTTCTATAAGAGAAAATTTTCAACCTGGTGTGGTGGTGTATACCTTTAATTCCATGAGGCAGAGGCAGGTGGGTCTCTGTGAGATGGAAGCCAACTTGGTCTGCATAGTGAGTTCCAGGCCAATTAAGGCTACAGGGAGATCCTGTCTCAAAGAAAAGAAAAAAAGAAAAAGAAAAATTTCAGGAAATTGGTATGCACTTGTTATGTTTTACACATTTCAAATTTTTCTTTATCCTAATTGTCCTTCTTCAACAAACTCAAGAATTTCACTTTGCATCAATAAATTAAATTATTCCACTGAGATTTCTTTTAAAGGGACCAAAAGGAAGCATGGTTTAAAGTAAGAGTGTCATTATTCACATCTTTTCACATGGGCACAGTTGAATATGCCTTGGTTTTCTTTAGGTGTGTTTTCTAAAAACTGATTTTTAATGACTTGTCATACCCATAGATTAACGCATCTCTCAGCGGAGAAGATTCCTTACATTGCAGGTGTTGCTTAACAACTCGACAACTTGCAGAAAATAAGAAACTGAAGACTGCTTATCCATGATTAGGCCACCTAGATCAAACTTCTGCCTCCTAAAGCTCAGGGACCACTGTGGAAGAGGGAGCAGAAAGACTGTAAGACCCAGAGGAGGGGGAGTAATCACAAGAACAAAGGGTGTTCCAGGAAGCTGGTCAGTTAAAAATATGAACTCAGAGAATGGATCTTTCAGTTGTCAATGCAAAATTGCATCTTAGTAGATGCAACATGTCACACAAGATTTCCTTTGAATAATCTGTCCTAATGCAGATTCATGATTGTCATCCCTGGAATTGTTCCAGTTGTAAATGTATAATCCATTTCTCTGAAAGCATTAAGTCATCGATAAAACAAGTGCGTGATTGAACAGGCTTCAGAAGAAAGGACTATCCATTACTATAAGATAAAGTCATTCTTCATGAAATTGCAGAGAAATGAACCTTCTAACTTTTCAGTTTCTTTGCCTTATCAATGAGAACACTCAAAATTCCATTGTGAGATAACCTCAATGGAATTCAGATATGTTCAGACTACAACTAGTCCAGATATATGTGGCAGATCTGTATTGTGAAAACTGAACCCCAATTGGATTTACAACCCACATCACCAGACAAAAATGTATAATGGTAAACATCCTTAAATACCCATGATGATCCGTATTCTAAGATCTATGGGAGAATTTAATTCTGTTTAGCTAAATTGACATAGTAGAATGACCTTCTGAGCATACGTGTTTATAAAAATAGACAATACTCAGCATTAATCAGAGAAGCCTTTCTGTGGAGCGAATCGGGATGAAAACAGAGATTTAAGAACACAAAGTACTGACAGAAAGTGACAGTTGAGTGCTAGCCCTAAAGAAGACATTTTTACCATCCCTTCCAAAGTCCAAAGAACATTATTCAGTATCAGGCATGGTCTCCCTCTTTTGAAGTTCTTGACCAGTGATCCCATATGCCCTAAAAATTTGTTATTGCTCTTACTCTTGTTTTCTTGACAGAACTTGATGGTAAGAACCTATTGCTAAAGACACTACATACATCAATTACACAATAAACAAGGAGAAGTCAAGCTGCTACTGACCTCAAGAACTTCTCTGTCCTGGATAATTTCATAATTCTGGAAGGTAGTGTGCACGCTACCAGAAGAGAAAAGGAAACACAAGTTTTCCCAGATGTGAACTCTGCAAGCTACTGTAACAACAGGCCTGGTAAGATATGCACAGAGATGCCATCAACTTCTAATTGGATTTAAGGCCTGCTTTATGAGATGGCGCTCATACCTGACATGATATCAGACCTAAGAACATGTGGCTACATAGATCACAGGCCATGGGAGAGAATCTACTGCTATTATTCTGTTAAATGGAGATAGCATTAAACTGACTCCTAATGACTTATTGTTATACCCATAGATTAGCGCATTTCTCATCTCCCACAGAGAAGTTTCCTTATGCAGCAGTTGATTAACACAGAAGCCAACAACTGGCTAACATGCAGAGAATAAGAGACTACAAAGTGCTTAGCCCTGAAAGGGATGCCTACATCAAACCCTTGCCACCCAAGGCTCAGGGATCATTGCAGAAGAGAAGAGAAAAGATTGTAAGAGTCAGAGATGGTGCATGACTATAAGAAGAGACAGCAAAGCAGTTACTCATATGAATTCAAAGCAATTGTGTCAGCATGCACAGTCCTACTTCTGCTCAAGTCAGACAAATTTCCAGCATAGATGGGGGAGGGGATGAGAAAGAAGCCCAAGCTGAGGAGTTATTGCAAGTTATGCTACTGGAAGAGTGAGAGTTCATTTTCTTTATGGGTATGATGCAGGGTAGCCTGACCAGGCTGCAAGGGATGGTCCCACATCTATGTGCATTTGGGAACATGAATTTGGTTCAACATGCCTTAAAAAATAATAGGGAGCATGAAATCAGGTGGTAAATAACAAGAGCAGTCCAAGTGGGGAAATTGTCTGAATTTGATCAAAATACTTTGTACAAAACTCAAAAATTCTATAAAAATATTTTAAATTCATTATATTTTTATTTTATGTGTATGATCATATTGCTTACATGTATGTGAATCTGTGTCATACAATGCCTACAGAGGCCAGAAGAGGGTGTTGCATCCCTTGGAACTGGAGTTACAGACAGTTGTTAGCCACCATGTGGGTGTTGGAATTTGAACATAGGTCTTCTGCAAGAACAGCCAGTGCTCTTAAGTGCTGAGCCATCTCCCCAGTCCCCAATAAAAATATTTTTTTTAAAAATCATAATGCTTATAATGTAAAATAACTGAAGCAATTCAAAGATCAATTATAAGATAAAGTGTTCATTCTGCCAATCTTATCCATGTAGTACCAGAATTTTATAATAGTTATAAGTAATAGTTTTTATAGTTATTTATTACATAAAAATAAATATATTTACTTATAATAGTTTTTATAATAGTTATAATAATTAGGCATAGAAAGCATACAAATTTAAACTGGGAATTCAAATAATTCTTATTTGAATATTGTATGATTCTGTAGTTCACAGAATTCACAGCTAGGTAAGGCTGATGTCTAATTTTCTCTTCTGATAGCGTGCATACAGCCTTACAATTGATGAGATAGTGTCACCAATATTTTGGGCATAACTACTCATAAATACCTGATACTGGTATCTTATCTGGGTGACTCTGATTAGACAGGTCATTTCCCAAAGGGAAGAGCCTAATACTGTTATTCTGCTAAATAGATACAGAATTAAAATGACTACAAATAACTTATTGTTATACCCATAGATTAATGCATCTCTTAGCTATCATCAGAGAATCTTCTATAGGCAGCAGAGGGTGAATAATACAGAGATCCACAACTGACCAATGTGTAAAGAATAAGAGGCTGAAGAGTGCTTATCCCTGAATAGTACACCTGTATCAGACTCCTGCCTCCCGGGGCTCGGGGATCGTTGTGGAAGAGGGGCCAAACACTGTGAAATTCTGATGAGGGGATTACCACAGGAAAACAGAGTTCTCCAGACCACTGGGCAGTTACTCATATGAACTCACAATATTGGTACAGCATGCACAAGTTCCATGTAAACTCAAGTCATACATAATCCCAGCATGGACTTTGGGAGATGAATATGATTCCCCAAATCTGCCTAAGGAATTGCTTGCAACCTATGATTTCTGGAAACAGGACAGTTAATTCACACATACACAGAAAGCAACAGGGCCACAGTCCTGTTACCTGAGCCTCTCCCACAAGACAGTAGAAAAAATGGAAGAAATTAAAATCAAAGTGAGTAGATGAAAAGAGTAATGCTCTGAGCTAAAACAAAGAAGTAGAAAAAGAACAGAAAATACCCACATAACACAGAAACACATTCCTACATATAAGCTTTTTGTTGTTCTTTTTGAGTCAGTGTCTCCTGTAGCCTCAGCTGGCCTGGCACTTACTATATAGAGTAGAGAGATTCATCTGCCTCTGCCTCCTGAGTGCTGGGATTAAAGGCATGCACCACCATGCCTAGCTACATATAAGCTTAAACAGTGATATTTTAGAAGATCCCTAAATGAATAAACTCTAAATCAGACCCTTTGGAAAAAAGAATAGAGGACACATATTACTAGTATCAGCAAAGGCAGGGATTATATCCCTGTAGACTTTTATGTATATTAAGAACAATTGTGGAATATTATGGTCACCATTATGCCAATTAATTTGACAAGTTAAAAATTAACAGCTACGGAAAGCCATAGACTACCACCACTCTCTCAAGAAAAGTTAGATACCATAAATGCAGTTACATGTAATATTAAAACATTTAATATCTTTTTAATCTGC